TAAACTTCTTTCATTTATGAATTACCCAGTCTATAGTATTCCGTTATAGCAGCCAAAAACAAACTAAGACTCCCCCACCAGTGGAATGAGGAAGCCATTTGCCCTCGGCCTGTCTAGAGTTAGGTTCCATACATGTCAGCCAAGAACAGATGCCCTTTGCTTTGTGGGGAGCTGGGACACTATGAATTTCTGACTTAGCAGCCCACCACAGGACGAACGCAGCTGCCCCTGTGCGAGAGGAAGCCTTGTGCTGCCCAGACACGGGGAGAAGGCACAATAAGGTGCTTCCTTAACATTCATTCCGTAGTCACTGTTTCCTAGTGCCTCGCTTTATACTTTGTCTGTTTCTACTTCAGAGTACATTTTTTGGTTTTCTGTCCTGGTCTAATGCATTATTGAAAGGCTTCCTGATCACCAGTCATGCATATGGAGGAGGCTCTGGCCTTGTGCTTATGTCGATTTTTCTCTGGCTTCTGAAGTCTGCTGTCAGGCTCTGGGGAGCAACTGCAGCCGCCAACACTGCCGTGCCAAAAACCCTGCATAGATGACAACAGACAGCATCAGTCTGGCCAGAGAGCCCACCAAGGACACAAAACACCACAAGTCACAGCAATACTCGGTCCTTTCCCAACACTGGCTGTTGAGGTAAAACCGTTCAAAACTGGCTGGGAAAAGAAGCAAAGAGATGCAAAGAGTCACACTCCTGAAAATGAACAGCAATTATTAAGCTGCCCCAGGGCAGACCTGTCAGCCTCTGCATACAAAACCAAAGCTCAGAAGCCAGATCTCAGCCTGTTCACGGGCAGGCTGCCCAGCCGGCCCCCAGCCTTCTTTACACTCAGTTCAGCTCATCCATCACTGAGGCCACAGTTGTCTGGGGGGCCAGGTCTGCGCTGGGCACAGGGGCATGACAGGGCCACCTGCCCTGCCTTCATCTTACTCACTTCAACCAGGAGATGAGACAGAAGGCTTCATTCATGCCATTCTGTGAGCTGATCTCTTCCACAGGTATATATTGAGCACCCACTGTATACCTAATTCTATTCTGTCAATAGACAAATGGAGCTTATGTTGTAGTGAGATGAGACAGAGAATAAACAAACAAAGACAACATGTAGCTGGCCAAAGGTGACACCTGCTAACGAGCGATTAAAGCAGGGAAGGAGGCAAGGGGTACTGGGGAAGGGTGGTGTCACACACCCAGATATTTTCAATAGAAGAGAGAGGCTGTCTTCAGTGGAGAAAGCAAATCTGCACAGACCCCTGTGAGAGGGATTTGGGTGGGTGTTGGGGAGAGAGCATGGTCAGAGGGAACAGCAGATGCAGGACCTTCAGGTAGGGAGTGCTTAGCAAATCAGGGACAAGCAGGAGACCGTGGATGGAGTCTGGAGGGCACGGGGATGCCGTGCTGGGCCTCAGATTTGTTTCTCTAGTGTTTTGGGGTCTCCTGGAATGTGCTGCTGCCTTGTGGGGATAGTCATGCCCCTTGAGGGGAGAGGTGGGAATTTGCAGGGGCCTGTTTTGGTTGTCACAGAGATTGGGAGCATTTCTGCCTTTTGCTGGTGGACCAGGGGTGGTGTTGAAGGTCGTGTGCAGGAAAGCCACACCCCACGAAGACTTTCCACACCCCAGACCCTCCAATACTCAGCAGGCACAGGCAGGACCTGCCCTCTGGCACCACCACCCACATCTAACTCTGCTTTGCATACAGACTGAGTCGTGTGTGTCTAGTGCCAAGACACAGTGAATGTTCCGGGACTGCCACACCATGTAAAAAAATTCCCTTCACCATGGGCCTCCATCTGTGGCCACAGCACATTCACCCAGCCCCTGACCTCCTGGTGTCGTCCGGCTCACGGTGTCGTCCGGTGGAGCTACTCTTGGCATTTGCTTATCAAAGTGCCTGTCATTTTACTTAAATTGTTTGGTGGTGTTTCTCCTTTATATCATGCACAGCATGGTACAGTTTTTGGAGATGGTGGATGTAGGTGGAGGATAGTAGAGGAGAACTAGGAGCAGTGGATGCTGGGACCGCTGTCGTTGAAGAGGCTGGCGCCCCAGTCTAGGTGAGAGACGGTGGAGGCATGGGTCTAAGTAGCGCCTGAGGAGGTGAGCAGAAGTGGTCACATTCTGGTCATATTTTAAAGGTAAAACTTTTGGATTTGCTGATAGACCATACATGAATGTGAGAGAAAAATAGGCCTCGAGGATAACTCCAAAACTTTTGGCCCAAACAACTGGGAAGATGCAGTTGTCACAAACTGAGAAGGGGGAAATTAAAGATTAAAGAAGCATGGGACTCGGGGGAGCCGGGAGTGCAGTCATGGATTATAGAGTTGGAGTTGCCTTTTCATGGAGATGCCAAAGAGCCAAATGGATAGTTCTTGGGGACAGTAAGAGCAGAGAAAAGGCCATGAAACTCAGCCTGTGAGACCAGGTAACTTCCAGGAGGAACAGACACCTGGGCTGGGGTTTTGAATGATCAGCAGGAGTTTCCCTGGAGAAAGAGGATGCTCCAAGCAGGGAAGTAAGCAGGGTGAGCAGAGGAGGTGCTAAAGAACGTGGCATCCCAGCCTCCAGGCCACTTCAATGGACAAGCACTGCATGCCCAGGACGCGAGGGCCAGAGCTGATGCCAGCAGGCCACATGGAGGCTGGGGGTCTGTCTCACTGCAAGGAGGAGCCCTTGGAGGTCACAGAACAGGCTGAATTCTTCCATGTCCTCTGGAAAGATGACCGCTCTGATCCAGCCCCCACTTCTGAACCAGCATCTGCTCACACACCTTTTTGTTCTGTTTCATTTCCCTTCCTCTCCAAATGGACTCCATGCTCCTTAGAAGGAAGGTGCCAAGCGTCAGGGGGCTTGGGAAATCACAGCTGCACCCCTCGAGAGGCCTCGGGGACCCCTGTCCCACAGGTGGTTGAGCAGAGCCCTGCTCTCCGGATGGAAAGGTGTCCCAGGATAACATGAGACGATGCATGAGTGCCTGTCACCTGGAGGTGCCCAAGAAACCGCCCGGAGTGAGGCCTTGTTTGATCACCCTCCAACAGATCGGGCGGGGTGTGGGTGAGAGCAGGGAGTGTGGCAGGGCCGGGATCACCCTCTGCCTGCCACTGTCCACGCAGCATGGGGACACCCACCACCCTCCCAATGCTGCTCCAGGGAAGTCAGACCAGGAGCACGGTCCCACCACAGTAAAAGCAGCAACTGTGTCTGGGTCCGGGTACACTGCCCAGTTGCAGGGCCTGGCCACAGCCACTGGGCCACTTGGCCTCCCCATGTGAGGGAGGGCCCCAGGTATGTTGAGAGGAAGAAAGCTGGTGCCAGGACAGGGGAGGGGTCCAAGGCTCGACCCCCAGGGCCTTCCTGGGGGTGACCCTGGCCAGCTTCCCGCTGCAGTGAAGGTCGATTGGTTGTCACAGGGGCAACTGGGATGCCCACAGCCTTGCCCCTGCACTGGGGAGCCAGCCCTCCAAGCAGCAGCATGACAGGCAGGCACTGCCAGTGCTCCTGCAGCAGACAGGGTGAGGCCGCGAGCAGCACCTGTGCAGGACCAGCCTGGCTCAGCCTCACCTCCCAGTGGGGTAGTCTCTGAGCTGAACCCTGAAGGCTAAGCCAGCACATCTCCCTAGCCAAGGTGCAGCTCACCTTGTGTCCATCACACCCCACTCCAGGAACCCTTTCAGACATGGTTTTCCTGATCTCCCGCACATTGCATTTGAATAGGACAGTTGTGTTATATGTCTACCTGTGTGCTGTACCCATGGGCCTGTGTTTTATTTATGAAAAGATTAAGAGCCTTTCCAGCCCCAACACTCACCAGCACCGTGGGGCTGCCTGCAGTGAAACCATGAGGGGCAGCAGCTGTGAGCTCCAGTTGCCCTGAAGGACAGAAGGGCTGGGTTCCTGGCCTCATGGGGCCACACCAAGGGGTCGAGATTGTCCTTTGGCCCAGGGAGTTAGATGTTGAGAGGCAAAGGGTGGCTAGAAACTGAGGGCACCTCAGCCGGAGCTACTGGGAGAGCAGGATGTTGTGGACAGCCCGACCTGTGGCTGAGCTCTGGGAGAGCAGGACGTTGTGGACAACCTGACGTGTCACAAGCCTGCCACACCAGCTGCCACCTGCCCGGGGTCAGGATGAGGGCACCGGAAGCTAGACGCTCAGAATTGAGCATGGCCCTCATGGATGACAGGGATGAGGTTTGGCCCCAGAGTCCAAACCCTGAACTGTGAAGCCTCCTGGGCCACAGAACAGTCAGGCTGCAGCTTCCCAGAGCACAGCCTTGGGGACAGGCAGTAAACAAATACATCACATGACGCTGATTACCTGGGTCTGAACTGCTGTGGAGAGACTGAGAGTGCTGGCCAGCAGGACCAGCATGCCCCACAGGTTTCTAGGGCCAGAGCAGGCTGGGGCTGTCACCACGGCCCTGGTGGATGTCCAGGGCCCAGCCAGAATTTGGGAGGGACACAGCAGGGGCAGAAGTGGATAGGACCACAGAGGCAGGGGAAAATGGGTTCTGAGGGAAGGGACCTGTGGCTCAGACACTGGCGAGGCCGAAGGGGCAGCCCATGAGTGTGATCAGGCAGCACCCACAAGGCACTCACAGCGTGCAGACCTCGTGGGAGCCACATGAGGTATGGGAGGAAAGTCCGGGGCCTCCCAGCAGCTCGGGGAGCCAGCAGGCCTCACATAGCACCCTCCTGCACCGATGGGCTCGGTGAAAAGCGCAGCAGGAGTTTCCCTCTTCCTCTTGTCTTCTGTGGCCTTCCCTTCACCACAGCCCAGATCTCAGCGTGTCTGGAGAAATCTCGAATCTCTGTGTGGCCTGATCTGCACGTGTGCGGGGGGCTTTCACGGGGGTTGGCAATGACTGGCTGATTTCTTGAGCGTTAGTGTGGGTGAGTGTGCGTGTGCGTGAGCGTGTGTGTGTGCGTGTGTGTGAGCGTGTGCGTGAGCGTGTGTGTGTGCGTGAGCGTGTGCGTGTGCGTGAGCGTGTGCGTGTGCATGTGCGTGTGCGTGAGCGTGTGAACGCCGGAGCCAGTGTGCGAAGTGTTTTCTCTTGCCCACTGAGGAATTCAGGCCATCCTTCAGTCTGCACCGCCCTCCACAGGCAGGAGCAGCTCCTGAGACTAGAGAAAATGCTCCTTGGCGAGCCCATGGGGCACTCATGGAGGAGGAGCATAGGCGGCAGAAAGAGCCTCCCCAGGCGCAGGGGTGAGAGGCCTTGCCCCCGATGCCCCCTCAGCAGCCTGTGCCATTCCCTATGATCCCTCTAAATGGTGGGAGCTGCCATTTCCTGAACAGCAGAGATGTGCAGAAGCCACAGCAGCGCTCACCCCATCTCCCCCGTGACCCCTGTGGGAGGACCCCTTACCCACAGGAGGGAACTGATTCCGGCAGGGGTCAAGTTATCTATTTAGTTGCTGCTTCGTTCCAGAAAGCTTTCTGCATTCAGTGCAAGGAGACATAAACTAAATATGTGGCGGGGAAAAAAGGCAACGGGAAAATGAGAGCAAAAGAGTGTGAGGGAGGCCAGAGTTCACGAGAGAACATTGGATCTTGCTGAGCAGGGACCAGCTGCGGGCCAGGCAGTGGGGCGGCCTGCACACCTTTGCCCACAGTGCCCGTCAGGGGAAGCAGTGCTGGGGAGGTGGTGCACTCGTGCTGTGAGGAGACGCCTGGGCTGCAGGAAATACCTCCCTCACTCCCCGTGTCCTCCATGCACAAAGATCCCAGGAGATGCTCCAGTTAAGCCCAGGGTCTGCAGCAAACCTGGGAGGCGCTGACAGTTTTGGATGCAGGACAGAAGGTGAGCCCCCTAGCATGCCCCACGTTCGGTCTGATGGCTGGCCCCACAGTGCAGCAGTGAGGAGGTCTCCTTCTACCGGGGAACATCACATGAGCTCCCAAATGAATCAAATCTGAGCGGAGCTCCCAGCTCCGATACCTCTAGGGTAAACGGAGACTTTACCTCAGAAACTCGGCTTAGTCCCGCTAGTACAGAACAGCAGTTTCCACCCTGATGTCTTCCAGAGGCTCAGTGAATGGCCATTTCCATCCACACCTCCCATTAAAAAGAGGCAGGCTTCCACGAGGGGCTGCATGGGAGCTGAGGGAAGACCTGCACCTGTCAGAAATCCTGTCTACGCTATCTGCAGTAGTCCCAAAACAGGTCGTGGAGCAGGGAGAGGTGTCGTTGGGGCATCTGCAGGTCCCCTGGGGTCATCTCGTTCACCTCCTCCTCTTTCCTGAAGCTGCTGATTCAGTTAACTCATTCATTCATTCACTCCTTCATTCATCCAACAAAGATTTAGGGGCATCTACTCTACCTGTGGCTGGGGCATGGTGGTGAGCAAGGCTGGGTTCCCACACACCATGAGGTCAGGTCTGGTGGGAGAGCCGGGCAAGTGACCACCCACAGTGTATTCATATAGTCGCCATGGCCACAGTAAAACACTGCCCTACAGTCCCGGGAATGATATTCCAGCCAAGGACTGAGGGACGTGAGGAGCTCGCCAGGTGGAGGCAAGAGGAAGTGCCCAGTGATGGGAGTGGAGCCTGCACAGGCCTCAAGGGAGGATACTGGGTGACTGGGGCCACCCGGGGTCACAACATGAAGTGGCACCTTCTGTAACTGGAAATCGCAAGCTCACCTTTCACGCAAGGCTGGCAGCATGTGGAGCTGCCTGAGCAGTCCTCCCTGGGTGTGCAGCTGGCAGGGTCCTCTCTCCAGGCTGACCTGCAAAGAATTGTGTTGAGACCTCCCTTGCAGTTTTCACATTTTCACATTTTCTATCTTTTTTTAAAAAAATGTAAAAAGAGTTGCAGATCCTCCCATAGTAGCACCCTGTCAAACTGTTTTCCCATCTTGTCCCTCGCTTCACCTCCCTTTCCTTCCACCTTGTGAACTCCGGCCCTTCTGATTCCAGAGGATTCCAGGTTTCCATCAACAAGTTTGCGTGAAAACAAGAAAAAGAAAAGCGCGTGTCTCGGTGCACAGCCCTCAGCAGCACCACAACATGTTTCCCCAGAGGAGCCCGGTACGACGCCAACATTAATTTACAGCCTGCAGATCCCTCGTCACCACTGTAGTTACATCATTATTGGTGCCATTTTGGGGGTAGTTTTCAAAGATTCTATTTTGGTGGTTTGTGCACATTGAGTGCAGAGATGAGTTTATATTCCACAATATACAGACTATGCCTTGTCTACTTCTATATTAAAATTTATAGATCAATTGACGTCAACATAGATATAAGTACAAATGATACGGAGATAGAGATATATAGCTCACTCCCTCATTGCTTATTCCCATCCTCATTTCCTAGATGCACGCGGGAGCCAACTCCAACGTATTTGACACACTGAATATGCATGTCCTTAAATACGCACATCTCTTTGTAAAAGATGTAGTGGTGTTTGGTAGATATACATATGCCATAAATTATGTGAGTTACATCAGACGTTAAATCTCATTCTGTTTCTTCTTCATTTTCACTTGACCGTAAGTTTTCAAGATGTATCGTGTTGCTCTAGCTACAGCTAGATTATTGCTTCTCAGTGCTGCCTTGTGTTATTGCACAGTTTGTTTCCACCTTATTTTATTTCCAGCACTCTGTAATGGACACCAAGTTCTCACACATTGTTGTATCATAAACAGACAGACAGGCAATCCCCTGTGAGTATCTCCCGATGGGTCTGGATCAAGGTTCCTCCAAGACGCTTAGGAGTTGGGCGGCTGGTACCAGGCCAACCCACACACTGCACTGGGCCGAGTCCTCTGGGGTGGCTGCAGCAGTCCACACCCCAGGACTCCGTTAGCCCACAGCCTTCTCAACATGTGAGCCTGTCCCTGGTCTGATCGTTGCTATTCTGTTGCATTTAAGCACTGTCTTGTTTTAATTTTAACTTGCATTGTGAACATGTTTTCATGGATTTTTTTAGTCATTTGGACTCCCATTTCTGTGAATTGTTATTCATTACCTTATTCACTTTCCTATTGCAGCGGTCTCTCTTTTCCTTGTGTTTTGAAGGAATTCTTACTGGCTTTGCCTACTCCTGTTGGCTTTCCCTACTGTAATCCTCATTGAAAAGAAATCCCTAATTTAGAGGTAATCTAACGTCCACCTTTACACTTTAAGCTATGATTTGACAACTTTGTTCAAGCAAATATTTGCTTAATCTCTGCCATCCCCAGTAGACTCCAAGGCTAGGAACCATGGCAGTCTTGTACCACTCGGTGTCTAGAAGAGCATTTATTCATTCGTGAATAACTATTTGGGGGAATGAATAAGGCCAGCACCTGGCACATTGTACACACTCAGTAAATGGAAGCTGCTATTTTGAATGAATGAGATTTTCTCAAGGGAAAGCTCTAAGTAAATGTAATGAAACAATCTTCTGCAGAGAGAAACACAAAATCAAAACCAAGAAAATGGAAGCTAAAACACCAACAAACCTCAGTAAGCAGGAGGGACCTCCTGGATCTCATAAGAGATTTGAATGTTTTCATTGAGCACAGAAAGCCTTTGTGATGCATGGATCCAGCTCTCTCTCTCTGACTCAGGAATAGCATTACCGCTGCAGGGTCTTTGTTTGTTTTGGCTTTAAAATAGAAACGTGACAGTTACGCTCGGATGATGCCGAAGTCAGGATGATGTGCCACATTTGAGTGACTCACATGCAATACAGTGAGACTCTCCTGCTGGAATCCCTCTAGAATCTGTGACTAGCTCCTCTAATTCCAGCACCATGTTCCGTGAGCACACCATTACCTTCTCTGGATTCTCTGGGAGTCATCTGTGAGGTCTTAATCATTACAATTGGATTGCCTTACTATCTAAAGTTTTATAGAAGGAAAAATAAATCACACATCTAGCAGAGTTTCAGGAAGGGTCACCCACCCCCATTCTTTCCCCTACTATTGGGAAACTGCCTAATGCCAGAGAGCAGCACGGATGTGGGACACAGGTCAGGCCCTGATGAGGCCAGTGAGGATCAAAGGACATCTCAGGAGGATCAACTTCCAGCATGAGGGGTTCCACTGAGCTGGTCCCCAGGAAAAATGGTGAAAATTGGTTTAAAACACACAATCAGTAAAGACTGCCAAACACAGTAGCAAAAAGCAAATGAAGAGACATGTATTCAAGAAAACGTATAAAACATTGGTGAGAAAGGCATATATCTAGGCATACACTCAGGAGAGTCTATGGTGTTAGAGCCAGGACCTTTCCTCCTCGCTCCTAGTTAGGTAAGGCGGAGACACCACTCCAGACTGCCTCAGCCAACAACACAGGGCTCCCTCTCCCCTCTGCTTCCAGTCAGAGAGCCTTCTTCCTGCAAGGAGCTGGATGTCAGCATTTCTCATCCTGCCCCCGCCACCTGTTGCTGAGGCTAAGTACTGGGTGAATGCAGTCGAAAAGTGGAACCTCTACTCTTCCTCCCAGCTTCCTCTCTTGAATTGAGGCTCTACCTTGGGCACAGTGCACTGAAAGTACTGCAGCCTGACAGCAACTCTTCCAACTTGGGAGGTGATGGTTCCACAGCAGGAGAAGACCCCAGGATGCCCCCGCCCCGCCACCCTGCCAAGCATTCAGTTCCTGGAGTGGGGGTATCCCTCGGAAAGAAGCTTGTCATTGTCCCTACCCCCAGCTCCAGAGCTAGGCTCAGAGATTTTGCCTGGAGGCCGGGGGAAGGGAAGAAGTTGGAGAAGAAGCAGGTCTTAAGCAAATAACTCCTGTGTCTTCCCCAAGGAACTGACTTCATTTATAACAGAGTGTGCAGAAGTTCAAGCTTAAGGGCACTCTTCAGAATGGTGGAGGTTGTGGTGAAAGCAGTTGGAAAGAGATTCATGGGTTTAATGAATATACAGCCTAGACTGTAGGCTGGCTGGCTTGTAGGAGAGAACTGGTGAATAAGACAGCTGGAGAGGAGCCCTCCTAGGGTCAGAACAAATATCAAACACAAATCTGAGACTACTTCTGAAAAGGAGCCATGATTTCACTGGTTTAAGTTGAAGAGCAATTTATGCCCTTAGAACATTACTGAAAGGAAGCATTATACAAATAACCAATAAGTACATGAAAAGATGCTTGACATCATTAGTCATCAGGACATTGCAAATACAGATCACAATGAAATCCTACTGCATACCCACTAGGATGGCCATAATAACACAGGCAAGTAATAACAAGTGTTGGCAGAGATGTGAAGAAATTTGAACCCTCATGCACTGCTAGTGGGAATTTAAAATGATGCAGCCACTTTGGAAAACAGTGTGGAAGTTTCCTAAACAATTAAACACAGATTTACCATATGACCCAGCAATCCTACTCCTAGGCATATACCCAGGAGAAATGAAAACGTATGTCCACACAAAAACTTGTATGTGAACATTCATAGCAACATTGTTCATAACAGACAAAAGGTAGGAAAAACTCAAATATCCATCAATTGACAAATTGATAAACAAAATGTGGTATAGCCATACCATTCCGTAAAAAGCAATGTAGTACTGATACATGCTACATCATGGATGAAACTTGAAAACATGCTAAGTGAAAAAAACAGTCACAAACACCACATATTATATAATTGCATTTAGATAAAATGCCCAGAAACTTGAAAACATGCTAAGTGAAAAAAGCAGTCACAAACACCACATATTATATAATTGCATTTAGATGAAATGCCCAGAATAGGGAAATCTATAGAGACAGAAAGTAGACTAGAGATTGCTTAGGACTGGGGGAGGCATATGGGAAGATAGGAAGATGAGCTGAAAGTTCTTTCTGGGGTGATGAAATTGTTTTAAAATCGGCTGCAGTGATAGCTATACTAAAAACCGTTAACTCGCAGACTAAATAGTTAAATTTTATAGTATGTGAGTTATATCTTAATAAAGCTGCTTTTAGAAGTCTTAAGTTGTTTCCATGAGTAGACATATAGAACAGTCTCATTTTTATGATGACTGCATAGTATTCTACAGCACAGATGTGCCATGATTTTATCTTAACCATTACCGTAACAACGGATACTCATACTGTTTCTGAGTTTGCACTATTACTGACAATGAGGTAAAGAACGCCTTGGCAGTACCTCCTTGCGTTCATATGTAGACATTTGGTGGGCTGTTTTCCTAGATCTCTTAGCCCACAGAAGACCAGAGTTACTGCTAAAGATTTTTAAAGTTAGATAAATAATTGTCTTCTGAGAGCAACATGACAGGGCATTCTCTGTTACGGCAATCCTGGCTCAAGCCTTCTCTGATTGGTTATCAACATTTATTCATTCGGCTATTCCTGTCGTCCTTAATTTGTCAGATTTATTAAGGATCAACTTTAGCCAGATCTTCAGCTGCATGCTGAGGATCTAGGCAGGATCTCAGGCTGGGGCAGGGTAGCGGGGTGTGGGTAGGGGTGGTGAACAGGTGACTGCAACACTCTCTGGTGAACACCAAGCACTCAACCCAGCTTCCTGAGGTGGTCTGTCCTCCAGAATGGCTGGCCAGCCAGGCTCACACCAAGCCCTTGGCCACCGCCATGCCCCACACACAGACATATCTAGTCTTCCCACATAAGACTTATAAGAGTAATCGTGGCAACATATGCTTAATAACATGAAAATACACGCTACACACACACACACACACACACACACACGAAAAGTCTAGGAGCACATAAATGCCCATCACAAATAGAGGGATGGGCAACTGTGGCATGAGCATCCAAAGGAACGGCAAGGGAGCAGCACAAAGCTGCAGGCTCGGAGTGTGTGGGTTTGCTTGCGTTCGTGTGGAATCGCTCCACGTGAACACACAGGGCACGGCAGCACTCCTAGAAAGGGGCCCAGATGACGAACAGGGTGGGAGAGACTCACTGTTCAGCGTACCCTCTGCATCTTTTGAATTTTGTACCATGTGCATATTTAAAGGAGTAACAAGATTACTCCTTCAGGGGCTCCCGTTGCCCCCACAGTGAAATCACACTTTCGACACATGATGAGACAGCGTCTTCACCTTCTCCCAGCGCGGCCTTATTTCACTTCTTCCTTCTCCCTGGGCGCCCCTCCAGCTGCACCTCCTGGGTGGAGCATGGCCTTTCCCTCACTTGCATCTGCCTCTTGGCCTTGGAGGTACCCTCGGGCCACTCAGAGAAACCTCCTCTGGCCCCTCGACTACTCTGGAGGACCCTCTGAGCTCAGAATTCTCCCAGAGGAATACCCCTCATCCACACTGGCAGTGGGGCCACCAGACCCCAAATTCCTGCTTCAGGGCCCGCAACATGGTAATGTCAACCAAAATTAAGGCTGCTGAGGCAGAAATAAATAGATGAAGGTTTACTGAACACCAAATGTGAGGATCATCCGAGGAAGACATATCAGCAGAGTTAGGCATGCTCCACAGTCGGCCACAAGTGAAAGGATTTTCTGGGAAGCTGAGGAGAAGGGAGGGGAGGACTCATGCTGGAGCTGTCCTCTTCACTGCAGGCTCCAATGCAGGGGTTCGGTCACTGACCACAGACAGCAACACACACGCTAAAAGTCCCTACATGCAAGACAAGCAGCAAAGCTTCATGATTTAGAAACAAATCAGTGTATTTTCCAGTGTCAGTGGGTTACGTTTTTTTTTTTTTTATAGATGGAGTCTTGCTCTATCACCCAGGCTGGAGTGCAGTGGCATGGTCTTGGCTCATTGCAACCTCCTCCTCCTGGGTTCAAGTGATTCTCCTGTCTCAACCTCCCAAGTAGCTAGGATTACAGGCACACGCCACCACACCCGGCTAATTTTTGTATCTTTAGTAGAGACGGGGTTTCACCATATTGGCCAGGCTGGTCTTGAACTCCTGACCTCGTGATCCGCCTGCCTCGGCCTCCCAAAGTGCTGGGATTACAGGCGTGAGTCACCACGCCCAGCCAGGTTACCTATTAATCTGTACTTCAACAGTTCGAGGAAACTCACGACAAGATCTGTGGGACTCAGGATAAGATACTTCACTCAGGAACAGGATGCAAGCCATGAGCCTAAGGCCTCCCTGAGGGAGCAGTGTGGCAGCTGCCAATATGGGCTGCAGGGTATCAGCGAGCACTCGGCGCCATTTGTCAATGTGTGCACAAGACGGCTGGAGAGAGAGAGGCAGAGGGAGAGTGAGGGAGAGAGAAGAGAATGAGTGAGAAAGAGAACACAGAGTGAGACGGCGAGAGAATGAGAGAAAGTGGGAGATGGAGTGAGTGGGAGTGAGACAGGGAGAGAGAGAGAGTGAGACAGTGAGGGAGACAGCAAGTCGCCAGTCCCTGGCCCAGTTCTGCGGCTTCCTCCTAACCTGCTGAAAGCCCCACAGGCACTACAGAGAGGCGAGCTGGCCTGCCCCAAGTCTCCAGCTTGTAAGAGGGGCCTGGGACTCAGACCTGATTCCAAATCCCAGCCTCCTACAGCTTCCCCACCCCGCATTCCAGAAGGCTTCTCAACCCCATGCAAGATCAGTGCCCACTAAGGTGCCTTCCTGGGCTCCCTGGGGCCCCCTCAGCCTCCATCCATCTGTCAATCATCTCTCAGGCTGTATCTGCACGCTTTTCACCATTCGGACTGACAGAGGCTTAGAACATTTTTACTTCGATTATGTCCATTATTTAAAGATTCTCCCCGGAGATTTGTGGCTAAAGACAACAAAAGGTGAAAAAGAAATTCACTAACTAAGTTATATAATAAGGCACTTTATTCCAAAAATGAGAGTGAGATATTTTAAGCTTTTACCACTTACCATGGCTTTCTTGTGGTGTTTTCCAACTTCAGGTATTTCAGCTACAAAACAAAATAAAATAAAATGTTATGAATCCTCAGTTCTGTTCCTTGGAAATACGGGCCCCCCTGATGGAGCCTAAGTCACAATCCCTACCCTTACGCCCTCTATGATCTGGGAGGGAAACCAGAATAAATATGCTAGGATGCAGTAAATGAGATCAGAGAAACACTTCACCCATACGAGAATGTAAAGGCACAGCCACCTCGGCCCAGTGTGGGACACTCCAACTGCCACTCCAGTATGAAGCTGCCTGTCCTCAGCCTGCCCCGGAGCTCAGCTCTGCCCTGCAGCTCAGCTCTGCCCTGCTCACTCCCACTTCCTTCTGATTTTCAGCACTCCAATGCGTTATATGACACTGTGAGTTTAACTTGCATTTCTCTAACGACCAATGACGTTGAGCACTTTCCATGTGTGTAAGAGCCATTTGTATATCCTCTTTGGTGACGTGTCTGCTGAAATTTTTGGACTATTTTCTTACATCTTCATGACCATTGTTTATAGGGACTATCTCCACTCTCCTTCCTTCATGCCTTCATCAAAATCAGGTGTTCACACATACGTTCATCTCTTGATTTTCTACCCTATTCTGTTGATCTATTTATCTATGTTTAGTGTTTTGTTACTACAGCTTTACAATGTCTTTCCATTTTCATTCAGTTTAAAATGCTTTCTGATCTTCCTTTTGATTTGTTTTGACCCATGAGTTATTTAGATGTGCATTATTTAATTTCCAAACGCTTGGGGATTTTTCAGATATCTTTCTATTGCTGATTCCTAATTTAATTCCATTTTGGTCAGAGAACATGCTCACTATGACAGAAATCCTTTCACATTTACTCAAACTTATTCTGTGGCCCAGAGAATACTTTATCTTGGTAAATGTGTTATGTGCGCTTGAAAAAAATGTGCATTCTGCTAAACACAGGAGGGTTCTATAAATGTCAGTTAGATCACATTTGGTTTCCAGTTTTGTTTCTGTATTCTTACCGATTTTCCATCTACCTGTTTTCTCTGTCTGTCGCCCAGGCTGGAGTGCAGTGGTGCAATCATAGCTCCATAAGCTCGAACTCCTGGGCTCAAGTAATTATCCCACCTCAACCTCCCGAATAGCTGAAACTATAGGAATGTGCCACCAGGCCCAGGAAATTTTTTTTTTTTTAGAGACAATGTCTCACCATGTTGCCCAGGCCAGTCTTGAACTCCCGGGCTTAAGCAAAATGGCCGCCTTGGTCTCCCAAAGCGCTGGGATTACAGAGGTGAGCCACTGCACCCGGCCCTGTGTACTTATTTTCAACAATTATTTAGAGAAGAGTGTTGAATTGTCTAACTATATTTTTTGATTTAACCATTACCGCTTGCAGGTTTCTGAGTTTTTGCTGCATGTATTTTTGAAGCTGTGTTATCCGTTGGATAAATGTTTAGGATAGTTATGTGGTGACTATTTGACCCCTTCGTCATTATAACATGACCTTCTCTGTCCATGGTAACATTCTTGCTCTGAAATCCACTTGACTTGGTATCAAGATGGTGACTCCTGAATAACACTGGTGTGAAATGTATTCCATTCTTTCACCTCTGATCCAATGTTGCCTGTGCATGTGTGCACACTTGTGTGGTTGCTGCGTGCTTTTTAATCCAATTGAAACAATCTTGAATCTTTAATTGGGCTATAGTTTAGGTTTGTTTCATTTAATCTAATTATTGATCTGGTTAGGTTTAAAGCTAGTATCTTGTCATTTGTTTTATCTTAATCCAATCAGTCACTTGTTTTCTGTTTCTTTTTTGGCATTTTTGATTAATTAAGGATTTCTTACATTTTCACATTATTTCTTTTATTGGATTATCAGCTACAACTATTGTGTTATTTCGGTGGTTGTGTTAGGGCTTACACTATACCTCTTTTCACAGTCTATGCACTAAAGTGATATTATATCACCTCAACTGCAACACAGGTTGGGTATCCCTTATCCAAAATCTTGAGACCAGAAGTGTTTCAGATTTCAGGTTTTTTCAGATTTTTGAATATTTTGAATATTAGACTTCCTGGTTGAGCATCCTTAGCCTGAAAATTTGAAATCAAAAATTCTTCAATGAGCATTTCCTTTGAGCATCATGACAGCATTCCAAAAGTTCCGGATTTTTTTGGAGCATTTTGGATTTCAGACTCTTGGGTTAGGAATACTTGCCCTGTCTATGACCTTTATAACAATATACTGTGTTTTGTCTCTTGCATTTGTGCTAGTGTCACACGGCTTACCTGTCCATATTTTACAAATCCCCAATGCACTGTTATTTTGTTTTAAAAAGTTGATTTTCTCTTTTAAATAACATTTCTATTGCTTTTCATCCCTTTGTGTAGACACACATTTCCATCTGGTGTTACTTTCCATCTACCTAAAGGACCTCCCTTCACATTTCTTGTAACGCAGGTCTGAGGCTCATCAGTTCTTTCCATTTTTGTGTGTTAGGGGGAGGAAGGTCTCTATTTCATTAAGTGAAAGATATTTTCTCTAGGTAAAGAGTATTTTCTTTCAGCACTTTAAAGATGTTGTTCTATTGTCTTCTCATTACATTGTTTTTAATGAGAAATTTGCTGTCATCCTTATATCTGTTCCTTTGTCCCTAATATTTCTTTTTTATCTGACTACTTTGAAGACTTTCCCTTATCACTGGATTTGAGCAACTTGATTATGATGTGTCTTGGTGCTGTTTTCTTTATATTTCTTATGCTTGAGGTTTATTGAGCTTCTTGAGTCTATGGGATATAATTTTTAACAAATTTGGAAAATTTGAAGAAAATTGTATTCCTTAAAATATGTTTTCTGTCTCCCTCCCCTTCTGCAATTATAATTACTCATGTATTTGGATATTCAACCGCTTAAAGGTGTCCCACAGCTCACTACTATTTTTTAGTCCTCTTGTTTCTCTATTTTTCATTTCTCTCTGTTTTGTATTTCTTGATAGTTTCTCTCCTTGTCTTTAACTTCTCTTGTCATTTTCTCTTAATTGTCTAAACCATCCTATGTATTTTTATCTCACGCATTGTGGCTTTCATCTCGAGAAGTTTGGTTTGGATCTTTTCTAAATCTTCTTTGTATCTAGTTAACATGATCTACCTCTTCCTCTACTATACTAAATATATGATATATTGTTATAATACTTGCTTTGATGTCCTTGTCTTCCAATTCTATTGTATCATTTGTCATTTCTGGATCACGTTGGTTGATATTCATCCTCACTGTGGGTCACTTGTTTTTCTTCGCATGCTGATAACTTTTGATTGAGTGCCGTGCATTATGAATTTTACTTTGTCAGATGCTGTATATTTTATATTCCTGTAAATAGCTTTGAACTTTGTTTTGAGTTTGATCTTTTTGATCTTGCTTTTATGCTTTGCTGAGTGGGATCAGAGCAGTATTTAGCCTAAGGCTAATTTCATCCTCCACTGAAGGAAAACCCTTCTAAGTACTCTACCCAGAGCCCCCTGAATTTGTTTTCTACTCTGGCTGGGGTGAACAGGCACTATTCCCAGCCCTGTTTGATCTATGGAGAATGCTCCCTCTAACGTTGTATGAGGCGCTTTCTCTTTTCTATCCTCTGACCAGTACAGCTGAGTGGTAGGGGGGGACTCTCTGCAGACCTCCACAGCTCTCACTGTGTACCCCTCTCTCCTGTGAATTCCAGCTGCCTTGGACTTCCTAACTTCATCTCTTTTTTTTCGTCTCAGTGAGTGTACCGAGCTTTGCCTGGCCTCTTCCTTTTACCAACTGTGTCGTGCGCTGGGCCTAGCGCAGAGCTCCACTCACCTGCTTCCCTGTTCTCATGGATCATTCCCCTTCATTGCCTAGTGCCTGATAGCTTGACAACTGTTATTTCAACAATGTGTCCCATATTTTTACGTTTATCAAACAGGAGGTAAATCGGGTCCTTATTATTCTATCTTTTCCAGAAGTAGAAGCTATAGAAATGTTTGTGTCATCCGAAAGTCACACAGATGAATGCTGGCCATGCCATTCACACCCCATCTCCAAGAGGTGATGCTCTGTCAGCTGGCAAAAGTCTGGCTTGACAGGCAACCTCAGCCCTGATGTGCAGATGAGGACCTCAGCTCTCTGAGTTGATGTCATTAAACACCAAGTCAGTCACACCCTTTGGAAGTCATCTGTAACTTAACTGCAAGGAGGGAATCCACAACTCAGATAGAGGTGAGTGTCTGGGGCACCAGTAAATTGGCAAATCTGTGATGCCAGGCTCTCCTGTGAGCTTCGAGAGCCCAACCCAACCTTGGGAATGTAAGGATGTAGGCTTTCTGAGTCCCCAGGCTCTGGGTAGATTATCAAGGTGACAGCAGCTGTCAGAAACTGGCCCCACTGCTGTTCCTCATGCAACACGCAAAACACATTGCACGTCATCACGCCTAACATTCTGCAAGCTGCTGCGTATGACAGGGTTATTCAAACAGTTGGACCTTGTATCTCTAAAGATCCAAAAACTTCATGTTAACCATTTTGATGGAGTTTATGCTAATGTGTCTATTTTAAATATTTTAACAATAACAGGCCTAAATAAATGAGCAACTAAAGTCACACACTATTGTCAGCACAGTAAAGAGAACATAACATAGCCCCGCACGGTCATGCATCAGGATCGCAAGCACCCTTCTGCGAGAGGCATTAGCTCTGAGGACCTGAGAGGATGACAGCAATTGGAAGATGTCGGTTCCTTCCCATTTCTATGAACACCAATGAGCTGCGTGGCATACAGCCAAGTCCGTGGCCCTCTCTGTCTCCACTTCCTCATCTGAAACGATGGCAACAGAACTTTCCTTTCCCGGGTTGTCAAAGTCCACGGAGAAGCATAAACTGATTCGCATGTGAGGAAGTATGCAGGTTTCAAAGGCTCTGGTCTTTGTATAACAGCATGCCGTCCAGGCCACACTCAGCAGAACCAGTCATCAGATTCCACCAAGTCAAATAAAACACTTCCCGCCTGAGGCCTTTGCCTCTGACAGTGTGTTTCCTTAGGGGAGATACTCTGTTAAATGAGAAAGCATATTGCTTAGAGGGCAGTCTGCAAAGGCTCTTGTTTTTCTAGATAAGTTATCCTTAAAGGGACAATCTGGGATTTCAGAAAATGGGACTAAGCCAGTAAGCGTTAGGTACTTATGAAGAGAATTGAGCAAACAGGGCCTTCAGCAACATTGCCCTGCAAGCGGTAACCAAGCCACCTTTGAGGGAGACATTTTATGGGCAATTCTTTGCATCAGCATGAGAGGTCAGGTTGGCGTTGGTCCCTCAGAAAACTAAAACCCATCAGCTTGCCACGGAGCTCCAGTCTCCCTCCCCATTGTCCCGGTGGGAAGGCGGGGTCATCCTGGGTGCGGCCTCACAGGAAGTGAGTCTGGAAGCTTGCAGGTGTGCCCCGATCCTCCCCTTTGCTCAGGCCTCTTCCTCACCTCCCACACCTGCCCACACACAGGCCAGTGCCCTCTCACTTCCCCTCTGCTCAGGCCTCTTCCCCGCCCCCCACACCTGCCAGTGCCCTCTCACCACCACTCTGCCAACTGCCAACTGTTGGCCAGTCCATCTCCCTCGCCATCCCAGATTCCTTATCCCCATTTATTCCCTGATATCCCCACGGCACCTAGAGTGCACTGGCCATCCAGGACATGCTGCTCGATGAAACTGACCTGACTCTCCTCTCACCCCTCAGATCCCAGTTCCTGTGGCTTCCAGAGTGAAAATTCGACAGCATCATCCCTGTTCAGCCCTTCCATGGATCCCTCAGGCCTTTGGGGGTGCCTACAGCCTCCCAGGCCTGGGCCCTGCCTCCCACACTAGCTGCATCTCTTACTATGTCCTCCTTGAGGTTCCCCCATTCCTGACCACCTGCAGTTCTGCAAAGATGTCCTAGACACAGCAGAGTTAGGGCATGGGGAGAGACAGCCCAACCTACATAGAGGAGGGGTGGGTAGCAGGGGAAGGAAAAGCCTTAAGATAGGCAGAGGAGACCACACTTCCTTATAATCAGAGTCAGATTCACTGTAGCAGTTTTTTTCTGAGTGGCTTATTTATTTACAAGCACTTACTAAGCACCTACAATGTGCTAGTACCTAGCCTAAGAAGTGAGTAGTAAACTGTGTCGCCCTCTAAAGGACAGCATTCAGCAGACACTGAGCTGCAAGCAACAACACAATAATGCGATTCTCAGAACATAGGGCGCTCAGGGAGGGGGGAAGTTAAGTATGCCTTGGTCTGGGCAAGGGACAGTGACATGGTTCAGATCTGTGCCCCCGCCCAAATCTCATGTTGAATTGTAATCCCCAGTGTTGGAGGTGGGGCCTAGTGGGAGGTGATTGGAGCATGAAGGCGGATGTCAACCTTGGTACTGTCTTGAGTTCTCATGAGAAATGGTTATTTGAAAATGTGTGGCACCTCCCCTCTCTTTCTGTCTTCTTCCTGCTTTGGCCATGTGAAGTACCAGCTCCCCATTCACCTTCCACCATGATTGTAAGTTTCCTGAGGCCTCCCCAGAAGCTGATGCTGCCATGCTTCCTGTACAGCCTGCAGAACCATGATCCAATTCAACGTCTTTTCTTTATAAATTCTCCAGTGCCAGGTATTTCTTTACAGCAGTGCAGGAATGGACTAATACAGAAAATTGGTACCAAGGAGAGAGACACTACTATAAAGATTCCTTAAAATGCGAAAGTGGCTTTGGAACTGGGTAAGAAGGAGAGGTTGGAAGAGTTTGGAGGGCTCTGAAGAAGACAAGAAGATGAGGGAAAGTTTGAAACTGTTGATAAAAAGAGTCAAACTCTGTAAAATATTTGAAGAGATTTCTGAGCCAAATATGAGTGACCATGGCCCACAGCCCTCAGGAGGTCCTGAGAACATGTGCCCAGGGTGGTAGGGATACAGCTTGGTTTTATGTCTTTTAGGAAGGCATGATACATCAATCCAATACATTTAAGAAATACATTGGTTTGGTTTAGAAAGGCAGGACAACTCAAAGTGGGGGCTTCCAGGTTTTAGGTAAATGTAAATGTTTTCTGGTTGATGATTGGTTGAGGTTGTCTGAAGACCCGGGATGGATAGAACAGAATGTTCTCAGGTTAAAGATAAAGGATTGTGGAGACCAAGTTTTATTGTTCAGAGGAAGCTGTTAGATAGCAGACTTTAGAGATAGCAGGTTGTAAATTGTTTTTTATTGGACTAAAAGGTTTCCTGGCTCTTAGTTGATTATCTCCTGAATCTGGGAAGGAAGGAAGGAAAACAAAGAGGGAAGGGGATTCTCTATAGAATGTGGATTTTTCCCACAAGAGACTTTGCAGGGCAATTTTAAGGTATGGCAAAGAAATATCTTTTGCGGTTAAATATTTTTTCCTTGTCTCATAATGTTACGCCAGAGTCAGATTGAAAAGCGAGACATAGTATACAAGGTCAAATAAAATCCATCTGAAGAGAATATACGGTTTGTAGGGCATGACTCCCTAGACCCCTTAGGCATGAATTTGGGTAAGATAAAAAAAAAATCAGAGCTTAGTCCTCAAAACTTCCTTCAGACTGCTTAAATTGTTGTGACCAAAATGCTGGTAGTGATGTGGACAATGAAGTCCAGGCTGAGGAGGTCTCCGGAAATGAGGAACTTATTGGGAACTGGTGTAAAGGTCACTTTTGTTCCGCCTTAGCGAAAAGCCTGGTTGCATTGTGCCCCTATTCTAGGGATCTATGGATTGAACTTGAGAGAGGTGATTTAGGGTATCTGGTGGAAGGCATTTCTAAGCAGCAAAGCATTCAAGAGTCACCTGGCTGCTTCTAACAGTCTGTGCTCCAATCTGCTCATATGCATGAGCAAAGAAATGACCCAAAATTGGAACTTATTGTTAAAAAGAAGAGCATAAAAGTTTGGAAAATTTGCAGCCTGGCCAAGTGGTAGAAAAGAAAAGCCCACTTTGGGGGGAGAAATTTAAGCAGGTTGCAAAAATTTGCATGACTAAAAGGAAGGCAAATGCTGATAGCCAAGACAGTGGGGAAAAGGCCTCAAAGGCATTTCAGAGACCTCTGCAGCAGCCCCTCCCACCACAGGCTCAGAAGCATGGGAGGGAAGGACAGTTTGGTGGGCCAGACTCAGGGCCCCACCGCCCCCCACAGCCCCAGGACATTGGATCCACATCCTGACGGTGGATCCCTGAATGACTCCATGGAGCAGGCCACCTTCAAGCCTGCCCTGCCACTGATTAGACTTTTTGTGAGGCAGAAAAAAAAATGTGGACTGTGATAAGCCACAGAGAAAGCAGGGTTTTCTGCCTATCAGCTGCAATTTATCTTAAAGATATGTGCAAGAAGTTCAAAAGCACATAGAGGAAAAGTATAAACTAGGCAGAGAATGTGTGGGGTGGGTCTTAGGATAACTTCTGGTGAGTGTGTGTTGTAGGACCGCCAGGTTAATAAACCTGCTCCACGGTAACAGAGCAATACACTGAGACAGTAGGGATGCAGCAGAGAAAGAGTGTAATGATTGTAGGGTATCAAGCAAGGAGATGGGAAGAGTCACTTAAATCCATCTCCCCCAGGAGGGTTTTTAAGGGGAATATGGGCTAGGGTTTTTAAGGGGAATATGGAGGGTGAGGGGCTAGAAAACTGGAGTTGTTGATTGGTCAGGGTAAGAGGGATGAAGTCATCAAGAGGTGGAAACTGCACTCTTTGGTGAGTCAGGTTTTCATAGGGTCTTTCAGTAAGCTTTTCATAGGGTCTTTCAGACCAGCTGGCACCAGTGGGGTCCTACAGACCAGCTGGCATCAGTAGCATCCTTCAGACCAGCTGGCATCAGTAGTTTCAGTGATATACAGGACCTGCAAGGATATCTCAGAGGGAAAACCTCACATTTCATAATGTTCAAGTGGTTATCTCTAGAGCAGTTAAGGGGAGCTCTAATCTTGTAACAGGATTCGTGCAATCCTGAGGCAACAGACACCAAACAGCTATGAGGAAGCAAGTCAGAGAGGAGGCTGACCTACTGATCAATGCTGAGCATGGGGAAGGCTGTGTTTAATTTTGTTTCTGCCCCTCCCTTTTTTCTTAATTTTATAAATGTTATAGGGACTGTTTCACATATACAAAATTGCTGCTTTGCATACATGCATTTTTCTGAGGAGATGGTTGACCACATTTGTCAGATTTTTCATAGGGGTCAGGGATCTAAAACTGCTAGGATCGCTGCCTGATGTTGTCTTATTTAACCGTGTGAGTTAGGCATTATTGAAGCTCAGTGATCTAGGTTTACTGAGCTGGTGCATTCATCCATTCGTGCACCACACATATTGGACATGCTCTCTGCTCCCAGCAGCCTCCAGCCCCTGGAGTGCACTAGAGAGCAAGGCAGCCCAGCCCTTGCTGTGGCAGGCCTGCGTGGGAAAGACGGCACACATCTGAGGAGCGTGCCAGTAGAGTGGCAGCATCGGGAGGACCTGTTATCCGGCCTTGTGCCCAGTGGAAAGGCGCTTTTAGAGAGGAGGGCACAGCAGAATTGGAAGGATGCTGCCCACAGAAAGGGCCCCATGTGAACCCCCAGCAGCAGGGGGCAGGCCCAGGGCTGCCAAGAGGAGGCTCTGGACGTCCAGGAAAGGGCAGAGGAACCGGGGAGGCAGCAGAGCTGAGCTACGAAGTCTCTGTGGAGAGACCGTTAGAGAGACCATAAACATGAGCACCCCAACCCAAGCCCAGCCCCACCATCACACCAATAGTTCACTCAGCAAACCACCTGGGAGCCCTCAGGCCCTGGGAGCAGCCAGAGGAAGCCATCTCCAGGTGACTCTCTGTCACCTGGCACTGGGCTCCTTCCACCCTGGGAACCACCAGAGCCTGAGTCAGCCTGGCTGGGGCCGCCCCAAAGTGCCCTGTCAGCACAGTCTCCCAGGCCCGACGCAGGCAGGCGCAGGCACGGCACTCACCACATAATGGGCACCTTTGATCTCCGCTCTCCTGATCATGCAGAGCCAACAGCAGCAGCCTCGCAGCACTCGGCGGGCTCAACATCAGGGTGGCACTTGGCTGCTTTGATGTCTCAGTGTCTGCCTGTTTGAAATGGAAAGTTGTCACATTAAGAAGATTATGCAGAATCCATTTGTCGCCACCCTTTTCCCACTGTGGTGAAGTCTACCCACCACCTTCTGTTAAAGTCATAGCTGAAACAGACAAAGGTAATGGAAAGAAGTTAAGGTGTCAGAGGCACTTGTGGTTACCAGTTTCTTAAAATGTTAATACAGTTGTCTCTTGGTATCCACAAAGGATTGATCCCAGGACCCACGGATAGCAAAATCTACAGATGCTCAAGTCCCTGGTATAAAATGGCATAGTATTTTCATATAACCTACATACCTGGTCCCGTATGCCTCAAATCATCTCTAGTTTACTTGTAATACCTAAAACAATGAATGCTATGGAAATAATTGTTTTACTGTATTGTTTAGAGAATAATGATTAAAAAAACTCTGCACGTGTTCATCACAGATGCAAATTATTTTCCAAATATTTTCAATACCACAGTTAATTGAATTTTATGGATGCGGAACTCACAGATTTGGAGGCCCAACTGTACAGTAGCCTTCAAATCCCTGCCACAACCCAGGAATTCTGGCATTAATGTGCCAAGGCTTCCCGGTGAAACTGTCTAGCGACATTGATAAAAGGCAAATTTACGAAACATCCCCAGCCAAGCATGCTGCCTCACGTCTGTTACCCTAGCACTTTGGGAGGCCGAGGTGGGTGGATCAACCGCGGTCAGGAGTTTGAGACCAGCCTGGTCAACATAGCGAAACCCCATCTCTACTAAAAATATAAAATCAGCCGGGCGTAGTGGCGTGCACCTATAATTTCAGCTACTTGGGAGCCTGAGGCAGGAGAATCACTTGAACCTGGGGGATGGAGGTCACAGTGAGCCAAGATTGCGCCACTTCACTCCAGCCTGGGCAAAAGAGCAAAACTCTGTCTCAAAAAAAAAAAAAAAAAAAAAAAAAAGCCATCCCCAAACAGCCAGGAAGCCATGCAGGTTGCAACGTGTGAGGCATGGACCCAGACACTGCCTCTGCATTCAGTCTGTGTGTTTTGTTGGCTTGGTCGGAGTATGAGAAGAATATTCAGCCTTGTGCAGATACAGAGTTAGAAAAGAAAGGAATCTTCCAGTAGCCTTTCGGATAACTGGATATTCTGTCTAGGTTTTACACCAAAATTTGTTAAGTGGTACTTCCTTAAAGGTTAGTTGCAATTGTGGAACCTGAAACCATACCAGTCGAATTGTCATACTTGGATACATTAAAATTCATTGGTTTGTCTCACTTTGAATGGTTCTTTTAACCATGCATGATTTTGCAGCATTATGCATGGGCCATTTGGAAAATATTGGGTGCCTGAGTTGAGCAGACCTTCCAAACACACATCTGTGAGAGAATGACAGTGAAAAAGGCAAATAATGTGTCAGTATTATCATGAAAACAGTTTTGACCTCACAGCCCCCGTGAATGTGTCTGGGATCCCATGTGTTCCCAGAACAACTTCGAGAACTACTGCCCTCCAGAATCCCTTGCACGTGCACACTAGCAGGTACCGGAACATTCACAGCAGCTATGGTCATAATTGCAAACACGTGGCAACAGCTCGCATGCTCCTCAGGACCAGAACAGAACAATCAATCATGGCAAATGCCCACCATCAAACACTACACAAGGTAACATGAAGCAGACTTCTACAGCCATATCCATCACCATAGGTGAATCTGCAGCACACAACCGGGAGCGAAAGCAGTGAGCCACAGGGTGAGGGAGGGTGGTCCCAGCCCCACACAGTCCGAACAAGGGGGAAGTGAGCAGCAGATGGCAGGGATGCACATGTTGGGAAAAATAACGCTATTTCTTTTTCTTTGTAAAGATGGGGTCAAACCATGTTGCCCAGGCTGGTCTTGAACTCCAGGACTCAAGGAATCCTCCTAGCTCAGCCTCCGAAAATGCTGGGATTACAGGCTTGAGCCACCACACCCAACCAGGCTATTATCAACACAAAATTCTAGACCATAGGCACCTCTGCCAAGGAGGGAGGAATGGCAAGTGTTAGTAAAGTCTTGTCTCTTAACCTGGGGTAGGTACTCTAGGGCCTGTGTTGTTATTCTTGAAATGGCACGTATTTTACACTCTTTTATATAATGGGGACATTTCACAATAACAACCGTTGAGGATGAGAATAAAAAAGAATAAAAATGAGAATGGCTAGCTAGTCTGGTGAGGCCTGCTGTCTCTGAGCTGTGCCACTGTGCAAACTGGCATCATGAAAGCCGTCTCCTTCACTCACTGAACACATAGAATCATGCTGTTTGAGAGTTACCTGAATCTTCTGCAAAACCGAGGGTTTTCTTCACTGAGCACTCTTTGAAGAGTGAGCACTCTTCACAGCTAAGGGAGGAGCTGCCTCAGTGAGGAATCCTGCCTTGGCCACGTTCTGGTCACCTCAGTCACAGCCTCTCACACCCAGACACGTGGGCACCTGAGTCCGCTGCCTCACCTGTGAGCTCCCGAGGGCAAGAACCATGGGTCACCATGGAGAGGGTGACATGAATGAGCAGCAGAGTCCCTGGCAGGGTGAGTGCCTGGAGAATTTCTGGGGAATGACGGGTGGGGCCGGGCAGCCCGAGGGCAGAGTTGCAGCCCCTCTCCCCCGGTGTGTGCTCCGTGCAGGTTGAGGTGATGAACACACCTGCGCTGCCCGTCCAGGGTACTCCCCTCCTTGTCAAGAGGTGACCACCCACCACTGCCATGAGTGTCAGCCTGGGTGTGTCACACTAATTCCACCCACTTGTGCACACTGGGGAGGCCTGTGGCAGTTCGAGGAGTTTCATAATAACCACAGCTACTGTATTCACGAGAAGCAAACCATAAGTGGTGCTGCGGAATCAGGAGGACCAGAGAGAGACCTTGGGGTGTATACAGGAGAAGATCTGTATTGAGTGCACTCAGATCCAGTGGACTTAACATCCAAAGACTGGACCCAGAACAACGACAGCACTTGACTTTTATACACACTTCTAAAAGTGGGGGGTGGGTTAGCTTGAAGCAGGCTTACAGTTACAGTGGCACAAAAGCAAGGATACAGAGGCAGAACAATTAATCAAATGGTGACAGGTTCATAATTCAGGATTACACATGACCATTGCCAAGCAAACCAGATGTCTGTTACCCAGGTTTTACTCTAAGGAGCCTTACACTGGTTTATCTCATAACCTTTACTGTGGCGCACAGATAGCTCTCAGGCTTCTCATGTCCTTCGTTGTACTTCTTAGATAAAACAGAATACTTGAAGTTACCAGTTACAGAGAACAAGAATCTATAAACTCATTCCATGAAACAAAGGATAATTTGTTTTTCTTCTCCCTATGTTGAGGGAGTGCTGGGAGAGTCTCCAGGGCACATTCCTTTGTGTCCTGGCTTCTTAGATAGTATTATCAAGACTTTCCCTGGGTCTGGGCTGTGCCCCTTGCTGCCTCTGGGATAAGTCAGCCTAATACAGGAAAGCTTATTTCTTTCTTTTAAATTTTATTTTTCTTTTTTCTTTAATTTGCCACCTCACGGACACCTTTTCACCCGTCAAGGTGTCTCCGATGGCTTACAGGGTGCCCAGGCACAACCCACTACTCATGATACTTATTGACCATTGACACGCCAGGCACTGTGCTGGTGAGAACTGTGCCCAGTGGCCAGTGTGCCAGAGTGCCTGATGCCAGTGCGCCACAGTGCCTGATACCAGTGCGCCACAGTGCCTGATGCCAGTGCTGAGCTGTGCCACATCCCCTTCTAAGAGCAGGGGCATGTCTGAACATTGGACTCCACTGGAGGTCTCCCTGAGGAAAGGCCTGCGGGGTGGCCTCTGTTCACCTCATCCCCAACTCCTGTGCTGTGAGCTGCTGGGCGCTCCTCAGCCTCGCCTTCACCTGCACTGGGGCTCTTACCTTCTCACCTGGGCCCACCCCTTCCCCTCATGCTCGGCTTGGCCTGGCTGCTTTCAGTGCTTAGTTAGCTGTCACCTCCTCCAGGCAGCCCTCCTCTGGGCACTGCCCTCCCCTTGCTTCCATCTACCTCAGCACATTACACATACCCTTTTCTGTCCCCTCTGTGCAGGGAGCTCCCTAGAGGCAGGAACAAGGTCTTCTGTGTTCCCAGGGCTAAGCACAGGTCTGGCTGGGTAGGTGTGACATCGTTTTTGAATGAAATAAGGAATGCAGTAACTCTTATCTCCTCTGGGGCTTCCCAGGCCCAGTCATGGCATGAAGACAGTGGATTGCTCAATTCCCAGAGTGCTGGGGGCTTCAATGGCAGGTGCATGAGAGGACCTTGAGGAGGCCAAGCTATCCCCATTCCCTGCCACCTTGTAGAAGTTATGCAGGCTCTGGAAAGTAGAGGCCACAAACCTAAAACCTGAGCTCAGACCCTCCCACAGATGCCAAGAGGGCTGAGGGAACTGCCCAAACCCAGTTCGCTCCCTCTGAGCACAGCGAAGCCTGTGTAGGGAGGAAAACGGCCCCACCCCAGGTGCTCACTGCACACCTGTGCTGCATCAGGGGCCACAGGCCCAGGGACCAGCCCCGGGATGGCAGATGAAAGACACACCAAGGGACCTCACAAGTCCTTCCAGAGTCATGGCCAGAGCACACAGATTGCACTGCACCATGTTAATTTAATGACTCTGTGAACTTTTTTTTTCTTTTTTTTTTTGAGACGGAGTCTCGCTCTGTCGCCCAGGCTGGAGTGCAGTGGCCAGATCTCAGCTCACTGCAAGCTCCGCCTCCCAGGTTTACGCCATTCTCCTGCCTCAGCCTCCAGAGTAGCTGGGACTACAGGTGCCTGCCACCTCGCCTGGTTAGTTTTTTGTATTTTTTAGTAGAGATGGGGTTTCACCGTGTTAGCCAGGATGGTCTTATCTCCTGACCTCGTGATCCGCCCGTCTTGGCCTCCCAAAGTGCTGGGATTACAGGCTTGAGCCAGACTCTGTGAACTTTTTCTATTTTCCTTCTCCATAGTGTTTCCCCACATGAC